CCAGCCCAAACAGGAGTGAGACGCTGTCTCTACAAAAAATAGAAAAACTAGCTAGCACAGTGGCCTGGCCTGTAGTCCCACCCTAATTGGGAGATGGAGGCAGGAGCATCATTTGAGTCCAAGAGTTTGAGGGTGCTGTGGGCTAGGGTCACACCACCGCATAGAGCAAGACAACAGAGTAAAAACCCTGTCTAAAAAAAAAAAAAAAGAAAGAAAGAATTACTGAATACAGTTAGAGAAAACAAGTACAGTATATTTTAAAATCCCATCCCAAAGTATGTGGAAAAAATCCTACTGTGTTTATACTAATGTAAAGAAAAATAGAAGTAAGTAGGTCTTTAAAAATAAGCTCATTTGGGAGGCCGAGTCAGGTGGATCCCCTGAGCTCAGGAGTTTAAGACCAGCCTGAGCAACAGCAAGACCCCATCTCTACTAAAAATAGAAAAAATAGCTGGGTGTGTGGCAGGCACCTGTAATCCCAGCTACTGGGGAGGCTGAGGCAGGAGGATCACTTGAACCTAAGAGTTTGAAGTTGCTGTGAGCTCTTATGCCATGACACTCTACTCAGGGTGACAGAATGAGACTCTGTCTCAAAAACAAACAAACAACACCAACAAAAAAAACCCAGAATTTCCTACTCTTGGTGGGTTGTGATTCCAGAAAGTGCTTAGTTGATGATACTATGTTTTCAAATGGGCCTCAGTGAATTAACAAGAAGCTTCTCGATTAACTATCACATTGGGTGCTCTGAAATGAAAGTTTATAATATGCACAGTTAGTAGAACGTTTTGTTTCTTCTGATCCTGGATGTTCACTATAAGCATTTCATATTTTCTTCTAATTACATGATAGACTCTCAGATTATAAACACCACAACAAAAACAAAACGTTAAGTACACAGGACATGTAAGAAAAAAACTGAGTGAACACAAACAAGTAAATGCACCTGTTTTCTCCATTGTGAAACTCTGAGGACAGTGTTATTGAAACAGACCAAGTTAACCAGGAAACAACAATTTATAAAAATGCAATAACAAACATATATTGGGGCATTACTGTAACTAATCAATATTATATTGTAATATTCTATTCTAATATTCAACTTGGAGTTGTAAAAGACTATACAGACACATATACACAATGGCTATTCTGAATAAGAACCAGTGTTCACAGTGTTATTCTTCACTATAAATTATCACTACAAATAATAATAATTACAAATATTATTCACTATAAATTACTCACTATAAATAGTTACATTCCAAAACACTAACAGTTAAAGATACAACTATAAATATTCAAGTCATGGTGGCATGAAGAACTTTGGTTCTCAGCTGCTTGATAAAGCTGGGGTAGAACCCAGTGCAGGGCAGTGAAACAGACCAGACGGGTAGGCAGGGACCAAGTCACAAAAGCCTGAGTCTGAGCATCTCAGACTTCTGCCCCGTCACGTCTTGCTTTTCAAACCGGGATCTGAGTATTGCATGGAAACACAGAAATAAGGAGAGGCACGGGATAATTATGGTACATCTTCTTTAAGTGCCAAGTTTATGAGAAAAATAAGTTAAATCTCTGTTTTTATATTAAATCCAATGTTACAGAACATAAAAATCATATAATTTTTGAAACAGAACGCAAAAATTCAAAGCAATCTCAATCTTGCAGTGGTCTAACTGATAGCCTCTGTTCCTTACTGTTGAGGACAATCTGAGAAAAAGTTAGAGAAATGGTGTTGGGAATGTGAGGCCAAAGGTTTTGGGGGACTTGCGGGGGTTGGTCTTTTTGTTTGAGCCAAAGGGTGATGTGTGCTTTCAGAAGACGTCCCAAGTGAAACAGGGTGCAGGACAGGCTATGACATCAGAGGAAGGACAGGTCCTGAAGGCAGGTGACAGACTGAGAGCTGTACTGTCCTGTGCAAGAGAAGAGAAGGCCGTGGACCAGAGGCGGGGAAGGCCTGCGAAAGCACAGGCAGACCAGACGGGATTATTCCATAGAAAGTTTTTGAGACTGTTTTAATATAACGGTGCTTGTGTTTTTTTAGAGCTAGTATTTCTGTAAGGCATTTGATACATGTATCTCTAAAAGCACTCACTTAAAAATAATACTTTCAGTGTGCCTTTTAATTATAAAAATTATGTTGTGGGATGCTACTGTAAATCTCTTATAGCAAAAATAAAATTTTAAGTTTATGAAAACTGTATTTAAGGAAGAAAATATTTATGTATTCAAATTGTTAAGAAAAAATCATGGAGGTTTCTGCTGGTCAGTTAGGTACCAGTAGCTTTTCTAGAGACATAACTACACAGTTTGAAAACTAGAGTTATGAATATCTTCAATCTTTGACATAATATTATAAAATAAATGAATAAACATGGACTCTCTCTGGAAAAGAAAAGAATTTAAGTATTACAAATACTTAATAAATGAACCAAATCCACATTAATCATTTCATAAGGGTCAGTAAATAGTTTTTTTTTTTTTTTTTGAGACAGAGCCTCAAGCTGTCCCCCTGGGTAGAGTGCCATGGCATTACAGCTCACAGTAACCTCCAACTCCTGAGCTCAAGCGAGTCTCCTGCCTCTGCCTCCCAAGTAGCTGGGACCACAGGCGCCCGCCACAACGCCCGGCTATTTTTTGGTTGCAGCCGTCATTGTTGTTTTTGGCGGGTCCGGGCTGGGGATTCGAACCCGCCACCTTAGGTGTATGTGGCTGGCGCCTTAGCCGGTTGAGCTATAGGCGCCGAGCCTCAGTATATAGTTTTAACCCAGGTAACTTGAGGTAGGTCTTACTGGCTAAAAGATACAAAATGAAATTAAAGTTAAACCTTCATTAGCAAGTTGATAATAAAATATAGTCACTAAAAATAAAACCTAGCAATGACAACTGTTGAGAGAAATTGATGAAAGACAAGATACAAAGAAATTCACACAGGACATATTCATGAAAACATTACAACTTGAGAAAAGGTAGATGAAATAAATGTTAATTTTACTAGACCAATAAAAATAGCAATTCTCAATCTAAATAAGTCATAGGAAATACTCTTAATGGCTTTTGGTCTATTTTACTTATGTAACTCAGACCACTGATAGTTATAACTAATGGAAAAGTAGCAGAGGTGGTAAGGCCTGAGGATGACAGTGGGTTCAATGCTCAAGCTAACAGCATACGGTCTGCAGTACAAACACTGTTTAGATGTTCAAGGTAGATGCCAGACATACTAAAAAACAATGTCAGAGAAATTACTATACAAAAGAAAAGCAAGGACAAGTCTGGAAACAAGTTTAGTTTTTAACTTTTCTTATTTTCAGATAAAACTCAGCTCTCTAAAAACATGGCAAAGAATTCAAATACTTGACTTGGCATAACAGACTCATCTAGACATAGCTCTCACACCAACTTTATTCACTAGTGTATGTTTACTCCTTAGAGAAAATCCTAAAATTTAGGCTAAACAGAAATTCATAACAGAAAAAATATCTCAAAAACCCAGATCTCAGCCTCTCTCCATCATTAATATCAGGCCTAATTAAAACTGTTCCTTTGATATACTTTTCATGTCTTTTGAGGAGGGAAATGAAAAGATAGCAACAGCAAAGTTAGAAGAGACAGAACTGTCTTGAATTCTAAATAATGTTAGAATTAATGCAAGGAAACATGGCAACAAAGATAGTTGCTATTCTACAAAGGAAACCAAGACACTTCTCTGCATCTCTGCCTCTAGCACACAGTGCTGCTATTTCTTTTTTTTTTTTTCCAAATGCCATCTGCTTCTTCCACGTCTCCCTCTTCCTGAGTTCCCTGGCAGTCCTTGCTTTGCATGGGCAGGGAAGTCGCTTCCAAGAAATCCGTCCATGGCAGGTGTCCGTATAGGTAGCATCACAAAGCCCTACCTGACAGATGGGAAGTGGGCAGCGGTGGGATGGAGAGACATACGATATGGACACAGAACTCTTTCTACATTGCACATTTGAAGCAAAATGGCCTCTCCTGCTCATGGGTTAGAAGGTTACATACTCACACGTATTGGGAGTGACTAGGTAAAGTCTAATTACAGGTAATGGGTCCTGATCTTATTTTATGGGTCAGATGGAGGAACTGCCATGTAGCTGCCCACAGCCAGCCCTCTCACAATTCCATGCATCAGGTTACAGGAGGAATTATGTGCGTCGGCCAAAATCTGCAACTACCAAGACAGCCCACCACACTCAAGCAGTGAAATACAAACTTCAAGTTATATGTGAGTTATATGTGGAATATATGTGAACATCTAGACAAGAAACCCTAAAAAAACAAAAGTGATGTCGTTTCTGATAAAACAAAAATACCAATTATATATATGCGTAAAAAAAAAATGTTTAAAATCCCAGGTTAACAATGGTTATCGATGGGTTGGTATCAGAAATATGGGTGATTTCCACTTTTCCCCTTTGCATTTCTCTGTTATTTCTAGTTTTCCTACAATGAGCACGTAACTTTTGCAACCAAGGGGGAAAAAAAAGAAGTTAAATAGGTTCAGAGTTTCTAATCTTAAAAGCAACAGTTCTCGTGGGTTGAAGACACAGAGAGGCCCATCTGTAACCCTCATTCCCACCAGGCAGCAAATCCGGCCCTGCTCCGCAGGAGGGCGCGGGGCCGGGAGAACCGCCCCGCAGAAACTTGGTGCAGCGCTTCTGCCCCAGCAAAGCCCACTCCCCCACGCTCCCGCGACCCCGCCCCGGCACTCCCCGACCCCGTGCGCCCACCGCCCCGCCTCCCACCCCGGGCCGCAGGCCGAGCCCTGAGGCGCCTCCCCCGACTCCCGCGACCTTGGACCAGGCGCCGCGCCCCTCGGAGCCTCAGTTTCCTGACCTGCGCGCCTGCACAGCGTCTGTGGGCTGGAACCCGAGAGGCGCCGCGAGAGCCCGGGTCGCCGCCCCACTCCGCGCCCACCCTTCTGCGGCCCCGGCCCCGGCCCCCGGGCACCTTGCGCAGCCCCCGCCCCGCCTGCGCACCCCGACCTGGCAGTGGCTGTCCGGGGGCAGGTTTTTCACCAGGATCTTCCTGCGGTTGCTCAGCTCCCGCCGCATCCGTTGCAGCCGCGCGGAGACCTCCTCGGGGTGCAGCGTGGCCGGCGCGGGGTCCCGGGTGTCCCCGTGCAGCCCCGGCCCCGGCCCCGGCCCCGCGCCGCCTCCCGCTGCCGCCATCTTCCCGGGCGCCAGCGGTGCGGGTCCTCGCCGGGGAGCCGGGAGCGGCGAGCAGCGAGCGGGGAGCGAGTGGGGGAGGCCGGGCGGGGCGCGGCGGGGGAGGCCGCACGGAGGGGGCGGTGCCGCGGCCGAGGGCGGGGAGAGAAACCCGAGGCCCGAGGAGGAGCCGGGAGCCGCCCCGCCCCACCCGGACACCTGTGCTGGAGGCTGGCCCCTCCCCTCCCACGCTCAGTCTGCCCCGCTCCCTCCTGGACCTCAGTCCGCCCCAGGGCCCCAGGGGGGCCTCGAACCCCGCGCCTGTCCCGGTCGGGCCCCGCAACGCCGCGCGGAGAGGCTCGGGGGCTGCGGGCGCGGTGCCCAGACGCGCCTCCGCGCGGCCGGCGGGCTCGGGACGGAAGCCTGCGGTGCTCGAGATGCGCGTATTTGGCAAAGTTTGAGTTTACAATGAAAAATAAAATTTGAGATTTTGTAGGGAGTAAAAGAGAGAAATTCTGGAAGAAACTTTGTGTGCTTGGTAAAGCCTGAAGGTAATGTATTTTCCTAGCTGTGTAGGAGAAAGCTGCGCCCTTCGCCCGTCCCTCTGTCCCTGTCATACGATCCCTCAGACGGGAAACCTGGGTAGTCGCGCCTTCAACACATGAAGCCACCCTAAACAAAGGCCAGAGTGGAGAGCTATGGCAGAGGGCGGGAAAACGCGCTACTTGGAACATTATTTTATTTGAAACGCAGGAGAAAACTATACTTAGTTTAAGTGATGTCATCAGATCAAAGAATCCAGCAGCGTTTGGCTTGGCCCAAAGGACCATCAGCAAAGGGAAACGTGTGTCCTAAGAGTCAGTGTATAGCATACAGACACACACACACACAAAAAGCCTATTTAATACTAGTGTGTAATCTGTTAGGGGAAAAAATTAAAAACAAAAGACTTCGTTATAAAATATACTATTAGTTTAGCACTTATCATGTGTCCCCCCTCCCCCCCCCCATGTATTTCAAAATACTTTGCATATAGGTATTTACTTGCTCTTCATAAAAATCTAATTAGGTAAGTTTTCATTTCCTTACTTTACACATAAAGAAATGGGATCTGGTCTGATAGATTCTAAAGCCCAGTGTGCTATGTAAATGATCCACCTGGGATTCCTCACCCAAGTAATGGGAGCTAATATTCCCAAATCCCTCTGTGCTGATACTTGCATTATTAAAATGACATGCTGCAGTATACCGTGTTTATAAGCAGAACTGTTTCTGATAGCCAAAGGGTAGAAACAACTCACGTGTTCATCTACTGATGAACAAATAACAAATTGTGTCATATACACACAATGAAATATTGTTTGGCCACATAAAGGAATCAAGTACCATTACAAGGTAAAGAAACCTCCAAAACATTAGGTGAGAGAGGCCAGAGACGAGAGGTCCCATGTGCAGTATTCCAACCTCAGGGAATATCAGGACAGGTGGGTCCATAGAAACAGGTGTGGTCTTCCAACCTCAGGGAATATCAGGACAGGTGGGTCCATAGAACCAGGTGTGGCATTCCAACCTCAGGGAATATCAGGACAGGTGGGTCCATAGAACCAGGTGTGGTATTCCAACCTCAGAACAGGTGGGTACATAGAGCAGAAGACAGATTGTAGATTTTCAGGCCTGGAAGGCAGTGATGGGAGCAGCTGCCTAATGGGTACATGTGTCCTTTAGAACAGAGGTCCTCAAACTTTTAAAACAGGGGGCCAGTTCACTGTCCCTCAGACCATTGGAGGACAGGACTGTGGGCCCCAGAACGAGTAGGCTGCTAAGCAGGACAGGCAGTGCTGGCAAAAACACCCGGCGGGCCAGATAAATGTCCTAGGCAGGCTGCATGGGGCTCGCAGGCGGTAGTTTGGGAACGCCTGCTTTAAAGTGACAAAAATCCCACTTTGCAGCTAGACAAGTTGCAATTGCCCAGTGCTGTGAAATGTACTAAATAGCCACTGAGTTGTTCAAGTAGCTAATTTTCTTATGAGAATTTCACCTCATAAAAATGTTTTTAAATGTCATTTTATAGTTTATAGCTGTTTCCTGCTTTTTACATTGTATCTCCTGAGCCCGTTCTTATGCCAATATATTTGCACATCAATATTTTTACATCAATACATTATTCTGTTCTGAGATTCACCATAATTTACTTCATTAATTTTTATCCTTTGTAAATAGCTGAGTGTTGGGTTGGCACCTGTGGTTCAGTGGGTAGGGCACCAGCCCCATATACCAAGGGTGGCAGGTTCAAACCTGACCCCAGCCAAACTGCAACAAAAAATAGCCAGGCCTTGTGGTGGGTGCCTGTAGTCCCAGCTACTTGGAAAGCTGAGGCAGGAGAATTGCCTAAGCCCAGGAGTTGGAGGTTGCTGTGAGCTGTATGATGCCACAGCACTCTGCCGAGGGCAATAAAGTGAGACTCTGTCTCTACAAAAAATAATAATAATAATAATAAATAAATAAAATAAAAATTTTTAAAAAAGCACCGAGTGTAATAACCTTATGTCCATATTTAAAGACATTTACTTTTCCATAGAATAAAGAACTAGAAGTAAAATTTCTGCATCAAAGAGTAAGCACATTTAAAGATTTTTAACAGTTATTCCCACATTACTTCAGTTTTTCCTACCACAAGCATTGTATGAAAGTATTTATTCCTCTGCTTATATCCATGCTTATATCTTTTGCTACCATGATAGCAAAAGACTGGCTTATTCTTGTTTTAAACTTTATTCCTTTGATTTAAAAATTGTGCATTTTAAACTCCAGTAAATTCTATTTTGTAAAGTTGAGAGATTGAAAAGTACATTCTTTAAAGTGGGTGAGAAGCATGAATAGCCCTAGCTCACGCTGCAACTTTGAGTTGCTCGTTACATTTCAGAACACGTATTTACCCAAATGAGTTTCATCTTCCTGACAAACATTTATTAAATGTCTATTTGTGCTAGCCCATATATGTAAAGACCCTAACAGTAAGGAGAAAATTATGCAGTAGTTCTAATTAAACAGAATAATATGCAAAAAGAAACTCCTGGCAGCCCTGAAAAGTAGCAGTTTGAGTCTAACTTTAGTGATGTTACTTTTGCTCAAAACATTTCCAAATTTCTTTCTTGGTGTTGACCTTATAATCTATGGCAAATTCTTCTGCATAATTTCATGGTGGCAAATGTTCATGTCTTAGAGATGAGTTTAATTGGAGGGAGTAATTAAATGTTATTTGAAGCCAAGTGTGGTGAATGAATCAGGTGCTGATTATGTTTTGGGGTTATGATGCTGTAATTGGGGGTTTGGGCTCCAAGGAGGACATGATTACAACGTATTAAGTTATTAAACCAATTTTATGAAGTGGTTGCTTGGACTTGATCTCACTCCTTGAGCAGCATTGCTATGTCCTTTAAGGCACAAATTTCAGACCTTTTGACCCAATTTAGTGGAAAATGTATTTTATGTCCCAGTCCAGTAAACACACACACAACTGAAATGAAGATTTCACAGAAATCACTCCCTATATCCTGCAGCACATTCCAGTAGTCCCTGTTCTATTCTATTGCATTTTTAAATATTACTGGGATGGTACAATTGGTTTTGTGTTCACTAATGAATCATTACTCACATTTTTATAAACACTGCTCTAGGTTTCAAATCAACTATTATTTTTTGGTTACTTTTCCTCAGTTGTTTTTAAGGAGTTAAAGGAAAGCATGGAATCTACTAATTTTATATTTTTAAATTGAACTGTTATTGCCACATAAAAGAAATGGCTGGAAACTGCAAAGACTTTGGTATGCAACTGTAATTCCAGTGAGTTCCTCTCATTCCAGGTATTAGCCTGACTCTTTACATACCTGGCTCCATGGCAAACTGAAAGGAATGCTGATCTTCAGTACAGTCACCCTGTAGCAGTGCCCACAGGTAGCTGTGGTGGCTTATAGTCTCTTTGTTCTTACCATGAGATGAGTGCTCACTTTTGCCTTTGTTTTTAAAAATACTGGTAATTATTTTTAAAATTCTGCAACTGGGGACAATGTTGGAGAGCTTTACTAAGTCTCAGTTTATATTGATAATAGTGATAGTGATAATAATAATGTCTCTGGTATCCAGACAGTCTTATGCTTATATATACTGATGTGATGAAATTAATGCGTATGAAAAGAGTTTATAAACTATAAGAATACACATTGATAGCCGGGTGTTGTAGCGGGCGCCTATAGTCCCAGCTACTCAGGAGGCTGAGGCAAGAGAATCACCTAAGCCCAGGAGTTGGAGGTTGCTGTGAGCTGTGACACCACAGTACTCTACTGAGGGCGATAATGTGAGACTCTGTCTCTACAAAAAAAAAAAAGAATACACATTGAGTTATTTGTTCACTCAATAAATAAATACATATATTTATTTCTTTTTCTTGTCTTTTTTTTTTTAGACAGGTTTGGGCACAGTGGCTCACACCTGTAATTCCAGCACTTTGGGAGGCCCAGGCAAGAGGATTCCTTGTACTCAAGAGTTCAAGACCAGTCTGAGCAACAGCAAGAACCCCCCATCTCTACTAAAATAGAAAAATGAGCCTGGTGTTGTGGTGGGTGCCTATAGTCCCAGCTCCTCAGCAGGCTGAGGCAGGAGGATCACTTGACCTAGGAGTTTCAGGTTGCTGAGCTAAGATGATGTGATAGCATTCTACCCAGAATGACAGAGTGAGACTACCAAAAAAAAAAAAAAAGTATGTATACACACACACATATACATATACACACACACACACACACATATATATACACACACACATATATATATACAGACATGTCCTATAATGTACCAGTCACTGCACAACATACCATATTTGATTGATTTTTACTCAGAAATGGGCTTTT